TACAAATGAATGACACATTTATCCTATTCACTGTTTCTTAAATTTTATTTCCCATTACCTCCCAGGTTGCATAACCATATATAAAAATAGTCAAAAGCTCATGTGCTTTATGTATTGTTGCCTAAATCTCCATCATATTCCCATTACTGTAATTAATTAAAAAAACACAGTGAAAATGAGTTATTTGCATCTTTTCATTTATTTCAGACTCAAAGAGTAAAACAGAAACCAATGAGTCAACTGCAAAGAATGACATTTCCCAGGAACATTTGTATCATGACATTATGATGGAAAGGTTCATAAGGGATGATATCATTTATTCCACATTGAAAAAAGTTTCCAGATATGATGATGTGTTAGAAAAGCACCAGGAAACCTGTGGAAGAAATGTGAGACAAGCCATTTTGACCCATAAGAAGAGAGTCCAAGATGTTCACAAATACGGGGAAATTATTGTGAGTTCAAATATTTTGGAACAGAAGCATCATAAATGTGACACACCTAGAAAGAGGAAAAAATACAAATTAGATTTGATTAATCATCCAATAAGTTGCATAAGAGCAAAAATCTATGAATGTAATATATGTGAAAAAATGTTCAAACAACCCAATCATCTTACTGAACACATGAGAATTCATACTGGCGAGAAGCCTTTCAGATGTAAGGAATGTGGAAGGGCCTTTAGTCAAAGTGCATCTCTTAATACACACCAGAGGATCCATACTGGTGAGAAACCCTTTGAATGTGAGGAGTGTGGCAAAGCCTTCAGACATCGCTCATCTCTTAATCAGCATCATAGAACTCACACTGGGGAGAAGCCTTATGTATGTGACAAATGTCAGAAAGCTTTCAGCCAGAACATTAGCTTGACCCAACATCTAAAGACTCATTCTGGAGAGAAACCTTTTACTTGCAACGAATGTGGGAAAACCTTTCGACAGATTAGACACCTTAGTGAACACGTAAGAATTCATACTGGGGAGAAGCCCTATGCATGTACTGCATGTTGTAAGACCTTTAGTCATAGAGCATATCTAACACATCACCAGAGAATCCATACTGGTGAAAGACCCTACAAATGTAAGGAATGTGGAAAAGCATTTAGACAGAGGATACACCTTAACAACCATAAAACTGTCCATACAGGAGTGAAAGCATATGAATGCAACCGCTGTGGGAAAGCCTATAGGCATGATTCATCCTTTAAGAAACATCAGAGACATCACACTGGAGAAAAACCTTACGAATGTAATGAATGTGGAAAATCCTTCAGCTATAATTCATCACTAAGTCGACACCATGAAATACACAGGCGGAATGCCTTCCGAAGTAATGTGTAAAAAAAAAATATTTATTCGATGAGAACAAAAGCCACATCTGAATCAGTGATTCTTAGCTTTAAAATTTCAGGACTCATGGGGCTGTGGTTGTGGCTCAGGGGTAGAGCGCTCGCCTAGCATGTGTGAGGCACTGGGTTCAATCCTCAGCACCACATATAAATAAAATGAAGATACTGTGTCCACCTAAAACTAAAATAAATAAATATTTTTAAAAAAAATTTAAAAAAAAATTTCAGGACTCAAATAAATTTGAGAAGTTGATTTAATGATGGCAACTTTAAATTTTGCCTGTTGTGTAAATAAACATTACATTAATAACTACTGACACTTCTATACAAAATACTTAAAATATAGTTCTTCAAATTAAATAAA